TTATTCGCTAATCAAATCTTGACCTCCTAGAAGTCTAGAAGAATCAGTAAGATTATTGGCCCTGATCTGACGTCTCGGCTTCAGTTACTTTCTGGCCGTCAGGATGTAGATTCCCTGTGCTTTTTCTATAAATACTTTCATGGTAATTGTTCGGTTGAACTCTTCACTGTGGTACGGAGACTTTAGGAATTTAAGCGCAGTAAATGCAATGTCAATCGTTATCTTCCGTCTTCTTAATTCTTGTTCTTTTAGTGTCCTTTCTCCTTAATTGTATATTTTTATCATATTCTCTGACACTCAGTAACCACCCCTTGCGTCTTAGTGGCTTTATTGACTTGCTTGGGGTGAAATGATTAAAAAAACTAGATTGGCTGCAAGGTCTCACCAATTCACAGTTGATCTAGCTAGATGTAAACGTAAGTTCTATGCTAACAGTTTCTTTTTCGCACTTCTCACGCGTGGGACTCTCTTCCGGCTCCATGCTTTCCAGCTAACTTTGATCTTCAAAAATTTGAATACAATATCAATCGTTATCTTTTACTATTGTTCTCGCTAATAATAATGTTTCTCTTTTTTCTTATTCTTTCACACTCTGTGACCTCTTGTATCTTAGTGGCTTTACTGCCTTGCATAGGGTGATGTGATTAAAAAAATTAAATTATGAAGATATAATATTGTACTTTTCTGTTATGATAATCCTCACTTTGTCAGCACAAAACACCAAATTGTTCCATTTTTACTTGATAACCTTAAACCGGAGACACGGTTTAAGGTTATCTCTAGAATCTTACGCGAACACAAAATGCACTTTGCAAGACACTGCTTGCGGGCAAAACAAGAATTCGCGAGTGATCTACTGCTCTGGACACCTAGCCATGGAACAAGGCGAGGTGACCGGTCAGCAACCACCTCCACTGACCACCTATATTATGATACAGAATCCACCCTGATTACCTTCCGCCCTTGATGCAGGATCGTGATGGCTGGCGTGATAGACTCATCAATGTCCGAGCTAGCTAAACCAAAAGTAATAAATTAAATTAATAACACTAAAAAAAAAAAACACTCAGCCAGAGGGATATAAACTCCTGCCCGTCTGCCAGTGGTGTAGCCAGGGTTCTCTGCGTCCGAATGCCTTTTTATTGTTAATCTTTTCATGGTTGAAATTGCCAAAGGCTTAAGTTGTTAAATCTGAAAGAAAAAGAAAAATCATTAAACGCTTAAACTTAATTCGCATTTAAATTCGGTCCAAGTTATTGGAATATCGATATAAGCCCACTTTTCTTTGTTTCTAACGATATTTTACTATGTCTTAATACTTGGCTTAGTTTCTGAAAGACATTTTTCGCTATTCCAATGTCCGTTTACATTGCCGTGTGACGTTTTTTTATCGTCGGTTACTACGCTAGCCAGGTAGTTAAATTTATGCACCTGTTTGATTTTCACATTCCCCAAAACGTAACTCACATCTTGGACTATCTCTTTTGGTGGCAGCCATATATTTTACCTTAAAAGCTAAATAACGGTAAAATCCCAAATTTCCAGGAACCGGTTCTATAAATGCAGGTAATCTTTCGGAACCTATCCTGCTTATTTTCTTTTCAATCTGAGAAAAATCTATTTTGATAATAGAAATCCATTATTGATAATAGAAAACATTTATGCATTAAGATATTTCTAGATTAAAATTCTGTTCCCTTCATATTTCTGTTTAAAAGTCTGATGCTTTCTGAATCTAGTGTCACCAGTTGTGCTATAGTTTTTTAACCACATTCAAACTAAATCTCTGCAGTCCGAAAGATCCAAATGAAAACCTATCAAATTTATGACTAGAAGATTTGCCATATTTTTAACTTTAAGAAGATTTCTTTTGTCAGAACCCAGCAGAACTTACAGCAATGGTTTTAATTATATTTTAGCTATTATATCGGCTATTAATATATAAGATTATTTTCGGATAATCCAACAAACGGTTAGCTAAGCTTTTATAGTTTTAAGAATCTGTTCGCGTGAACCGGTAGGATGCCATCACTGAACCCAGACCAAACATTTTAATTTTCTCAAGAAAGAATTTCTCAAAATAGCTTTTGTAGTCTTACACGGAATTCATTAGAACACTTTTCCAAAGTACAGAATAAATCCCAGCAAAGTGTAAAATATGAACCCATCTTTTCTCCCTGGTTTAAGTAGCAGGATAAACTGGACTTTTTAGCCGTTGATGGCAGCCAGTCTAGTAGAATGACTACTATCTTTTTATTATCTTTTCCCACAAGCAATTGTAACAGGGCACTGGGCTTGTCCAGCGTTTAATTGCATGAAATCGCTGGATGGTGATCTGGAGAGACTATTAATTGGATAATAATTATTAAAAAATTCAGGAGAATATATTGAATGGTTGGGAGAAAGAGGGAAAAAGAAAAGAGTTAATAATTATGTTTTAAACAAGAAGTTGAATTTAAGAACGGTTCCAAAGAGAAGCGAACCCAGAAACAACTAGTCAAGATTCAGTAAAATTGAAAAAAACAAAAAAAAACAAACAAACAAAAAAAAAACAAAACAAAACAACAAATTTTCCACAAGCTATCCACTTCCCTCCGATAAGAAGAAGACATGATTAATGTCTTGTAGGATTTTGGGGTCCTGAGATCCTAAATTCGGAGTTTGTTTACATTAATATTATTCGCCCCAAAACGCTTATATTCTTATAGAAAAAAAATGACGAAATTTCTTTAAATTAGAAAATTAGATTCGATACAATTCGTTCAGCCGGTGCAGAACATTATCGATACGAATCCCAGAATATTCATGAGGACCTTTGTCAGATATCTCCTAGTATCCGAGGGAACAGTCTGCAATGTAGTGCAATTTGGTATAAGATGAGGAAAGCACAGTTCATGCCTGCTCACACACAAGAACCACGGCTGCTCCGAGCAAAATGGTTAATAAACAAGTTGAGACTTCAATAAGAACCTGGCATGCTCTGATTTTGTTTTTGTTTGCGACAAAAAAATGTTCGACTGCGATCAAATGGTGAACCAGAGAAATGACAGGGGTTGACGTGCCGATCATTCTGATACCCGCCCCCATGTTATGCCCTCTAAGTTTCCCGCTTCTGTGATGGTTTTAGGGGTGGTGAGTAGTGAAGGACACGTCATGCTACCCAACTTCTTTCAACATGGTCTTGGACTGAATGTTGCTGGCTACCCTGAGGTATTGGAAACAGTTGTGAAGTCCTGGATAGACCTTTTATATAAAACAAAATATTTCCTACTAAATCTAAGTTCTTGTGCCAAACACAAAAACTTAGGAACAAATCATAATAGGCGCAAAATAGCAATACAAAATAAAACTCAACCTCTGCGTAAAATTTTGAAAGGAAAACACATTTATTTATACACTTAGAGAAAAGTGCAAATACAAAGTTTGCACAAAAAGTTCCTTTTGTGCACCTATTAAGGTAGGATAACAATTTCAGATAGAAACGGTTGTCATCGAACAATGGAAAAAAAATTACAACTTGGGAAAAGACAAGGATTTTGAAAATGACAAAAAGAGAAAAGCAATTCAAGAAAGCAGTCAAAAACAAAAGTGAAACTACCTTTCAGAAAAAAAAACAAAAAAAAACGAAAAGACCTACTTTCACTTGCCTTCGAGTATCTCTGGAACATACAGTAATTTTTGAAAAGTCCCTTTTAATTTCAAACAGTTTGCGCTTGGAAAAATTTCTTAGAATTATTTTCGCTCTTGGCTGTCCAACGTCAACAGAATTTTCACTTGAACTTCAAAATTCTTTAGTCTCTCTGCAGCTGGCCGTTAACTGGTACCTTCTTTGATGTTCTCTTCTTAATGTCAAATACCTTCATCTCTGATGTTCCCTTGCTCTTAAAATGTCTTCTCGCATCTACTGACCTGAGCTCTATTTATTGAGAAAATTAGGCTCACAAAGTTCGCATATTACTTGAGTTTGAGACCATGCCTCTCATTAGTTAGTATATACAAAATAACTATATTCCATAAACTGGAAATGGACCCTTCGCAAATTTTATCGGGTTTTAATCACTGAGCCGAAAAAGATGTACAGTTGTAGCAATTTTTAATACAAACCGTCTGAGTATAAAACTACACTTCTATAAAAAACAAACAAAAAAAAAACGTGTATTAAAAAACCTAGACTATTAACTATTTATACAAGGCTAACATTTTTAAAATAGTAAAAATAAAAATTTTATGTATATACAACAGAAGGCCGTATATGTTTCAGCCGGGCTCTACTTCTGCTTATAAAAGTGCGGTAACCCAAAAACTAAATGGCAACCAATTTTCACGACCACATCACACTAAACATATGACTACCTAACTTGCCAAACTTAAATTCCCTTGACTATTGCATGTAGGACGTTGTAGAACAGGAGATTCCCACAACGGCTGAGTTCCTGAAAGCTGCCATTACCCAAGTAATGTCCAATATCAGGACAGACTACGTGATGTGTGCATTTCAAAGATTATGTACCTTATGTTCATGAAAAATAAATTTCACGTTTGAAGAAGTTTTTATTTTGTCTCCAAAAATGTGACATTACTTTCCGAACAAATAAGTGATAGCGACAGAATGATGTAACATATAACATTTGCACAATATTTTAACGCTATTCAGACCGGACAACAAGTCACTTCAGGTCTGATAATACAATTTTTGTTCTATTCAATTCAGTCGTGACTAGGTGTCGGTATCATAAAAGTTTAAGACTGACTTGCCCTTGTCAAATCTGTTCTCCCCAAAAGAGCCGACATACTTGTGGCTTAGATATCGAAAATTTTATTTTCTCACATTTTTTTTTCAGGATTTTTCAAAGCAGCCATTGTTCTTATAAAATATACACACCCACAGCTAAATAATAAAATGAAAACTTTACGTAGTTTAAGAAGAAAAACGTAACAAATAACATATTATAATTTGCAATAAAGGTTTCCAAAAGTATGGGTGTGGTACGGTTTTTAGAATGGTGAAATTTGCCTTTCATTCTTCGCCCCTGTTTTTTCTTCTGTTATCAAGTAGTTGCAACACCATTTTCTACTTTTTATTATAACCCCATGATGTTTATTTTTTGATAACATTCTTTAACCATTGCTGTAAAACTATACATATATTTTTACTATTGTTCACCCACTGGAAGGGTCCAAGAACCACTCAAGTTAGAGTGTTACTAAATGAGATCACTGTAAGGGCGTAAACTGAGGTAGCAATGGGTGAATATTATGTAGGATTGATCCTTGGCTTGAATACTTACCTGGCCCAGGGATCCGTCCCTGTGCTGTTGGTATCACAGCTATGACCAGCTATGACTAGCTTAGACCAGCTCTGACCAGCTTGGACAAGCTATGACCAGCTAAGACCAGCTTGGACCAGCGCTCCGACTGAAAACACTCGGGTCCCCACGTTAAGAACTGACCTTGTGTCACAACCTGACTCAGTGGGGGGGGGGGTCAAGTAAATCTCTACTTACCTAGCACATGCCGGGTAGGATTTATCATCTCTCAGTTGCGTCTCTGTCTTCAGTTGTAGCTCCATCGGTGGACAGAGGCGCAACTGAGGAAAATAAATGCCAGAGTAATCGACTGTTGCAAGTGCTTGGGGAATTTTTGGCCTTGGCCCGAGTATACGCGACCTTGTGCCACATCACGTTTCAGTGGGGAGACGACGTAAATAATACTTGAAGAGGTTAACATTGTAGTGATCACGAGAAACATCCTCATCGGAGTCCGCTCGACAATGCAACAGTTCTGGAGAAGAAGCTGACACTTCCTCTTTACAAATGGAATATGTAGGAATGAGGATAAGTATATTCATTGTACGTGATACGGTGGGTACTAGCTGTGAACTAAGAGAACCAACGAATGGATTGGTTTGGTTTGCTTTGTTTTACGGATTATCAACCTCAATGGGTTATTTAATGCCGACAAGATTTTTATTGCTAGTAATATTTTTTTCAAAAATGTATTGTTGGTAATAATTTTTTCCTCAAAAATCCAATGCTGGTAATATATTTTTACAAAAATGTATTGTTGGTATTAAAACCTATTTTTACACTTTCATTGCGTTTTGACCCCAGTTTCGGGGTTAATTATTTGCCCACAGCTGGGACCCTAATAATGATTACTGACACAAGTTCTACTAAATAACCCATAGCTGGAGGAGAAGAAGTGAGGAATGTGAGGAGAAGACTTTTTGACAGCAAGAGAACAAGGTAGGTCAACATCAGGACAGAATGCATTTGATATTAAGAGGAGAACATCAAAGTAACCAGTTACCGCCCACCTGCAGAGAGACGAAAGTTCAAGTGAAAATTCTCCTGAGTTTGAACAGCCAAGAACAAAAAGGATACTAAGAAATTTTCCCAAGCACAAACTGTTTGAAGTTAAAAGGGACTCTTTCCTGGGGGTATTTGCACGTAAATCGATATAACGAACCCGACTGGAATTAAAACTCCGCTCTTCTATTTCAAGTTCCGAGTCGTTATCCATTACACTACCTCAAGCTTACAGTCACCCGTCTAGGTATTAACCAGACACGACGTTGCTTAACTTCGGTGATCGTACGAAAACTGATGTTTCAACGTGATATGGCCATTAAATTAATAATAGCGGTATATGTCTAAACATTAAAACCCTTAATTTAGTTTTAAAATATGAGGGAGGGTAAATATATAAACACCAAATCTATATGTTAGTATAAAAGTGTGGGGTGGGTGAAATATTGTAATGAACAAAAGCCCTTGATTTTTTTTAATCATTTCACCTCATGCAAGGCAGTAAAGCCGCCATAACATAAAGAGGTCAATGAGTGTGAAAGAATAAGAAAAAATCGAGAAGCATTAAAGAGAAAGGACAAATGAAGAGTAATAGAAAAGAGTTCCACCAGCGAGAAAGACGAGAAAAGAATGTGCTAGCATAGAAATAATGGTGATAACCAATTCAACTGTAAAATGATGAGACCTTACCGCCAATCAAGTACTGCGCTTAAATACATAAAGTCTAGACACCAAACAGGAAAGCTCATCATAACAATTACCATGAAAGTATTTATAGAAAAAGCAAAGGGAAGCTCCGTTATGGTGGTGGGGAAATGTTTGAAGTCGAGATGCCATGTCAGGACTAATATTAATGCTGATTCTTTGATCTTTATCAAGAATCTCTAAATATATAGCTGGATCACCGGATCAGACGTGGCAGCAATATTCAAAGCATGGACGATTGACAGACTTATAAATATGTAAGATAGATTCTGGAGAGGAAAATTTTCTAACACGACACAGTAAACCAACTTTCTTAGCAGCAGCCCTCGCAATGGATTCAATTTAGTGAGGCGAGGTAAAGTTTTTGACGCTAAAATAATTCATTTAGTTTTAAATGGCAGCATTTACAGTATTTTAACTTTCAGAATTCGTTTACATCGAACAATTTTTAATGATTTACTTCTTTCCCCCCCCCAGCCATATTTATTTTATTCTTTCCGTCTCCCTTAGCGAGAGAGTCACTTGATTTTGTCTAAAGACAGAATACAGCAGCCTCTCTTAAATCTTTTTTGAGGGTTTGACAGGTTCAACTCACATCAGTTATCTTTATTTTGTACATTTGTTTTGATATATTTGTTTTGTTTTTGAGTTCATACGCTTTGCCCCCTTCCCCCATTACGTATCATGTAAAGATTTTATATATAGAATTTTTATCCTGATTAAATTTTTATGTCATGGAGTGCGTTTTGTAGGTTCCCCGAGACTATGCGGTATTATGGTATATAGAGGATGAAATCTTGTGGTGAATGTGCAAATTGGAAAGAGTGGAGGGTCGTGAATCTGATTAGTTAGGTACAGGATAGTAAGTGACGACCAGCCTCAACCCACTCCCCCCTTATAGGCCTTGTGCCTCAATTGTATTTTATATGCAATAAATCTTGACCTGTTGTTAAAAAATCTAGTTTTATTTTTATTTTATTCTTGGTGCCTTGTATGTTGGCCTTGCATCGATAATTACAAAGATTACATTACTTCTTCTTTCTCTTTTATGTGTCGTGTCTCTTCAGGGCGTAGACGATCATGGCCTCCATCACCTCCTGTCTCTTGTAGCTCTTAATAAGTTTTCACTTTTTGTTATTTCTCCCAAACCCTTTTCTGCCATCCACTTGCTTAAGTCTGCTAATTAAGTCACACGTTGTTTTCTCCTGTCCCTCTTTTCCTCTATCCGCCCTGTGAGTATCAGATTTCCCAAGCCTTCCTTCCTCATTACGTGCACAAGAAATTACAACTGGCTCTTCTTGATGTTAGTTATAAGTTTCCTCTTTGTATACATCCTCTCCAAAACCTCATCGTTGCTCACACGCTCAGTCCATGATATCCTTAGTATCCTTCTGTAGAACCATACCTGCGTTGCCTCGTGTCTCTTTTTCATCTTTGAGGAGACCGTCCAACATTCGCTGCCGTAAAGGAGGACGGATATCACATAGCAGTTCAATAATCTTTTCATTCGGGAAATATATATTGTTTGATATCCTCAGTAGTTATTAAGATATCCTTCTTTCCCGCTATCCGTTCTGTGAGTATCAGAATTTCTAAGCCCTCTTTTCTCATTACGTGTCCCAGAAATTTCATCTTGCGCCAATCTTACAAGGAGGGAAAACATAGCTTCTTTGAAAAATTATCGTTTCTCATGTTTGACCGCTGAACACTGTCATTAATGCAGACTAACAGAGTTGATGTCAAGACCATTTATCCGAAAATCTGAACAATTCTCCGATTCCTCAATCCAAGCCGCTATTCTCTCTTGCAGTGGGCCTCCGCTTCCTCAATCCAAGCCGCTATTCTGTCTTGCAGTGAGCCTCCCGTTCCTCAATCCGAGACATTATTCTCTCTTGCAGTGCGCCTCCCCTTCCTCAATCCGAGCCGTTATTCTCTCTTGCAGTGGGCCTCCCGTTCCTCAATCCGAGCCTCTAATCTCTCTTGCAGTGCACCTCCCCTTCCTTAATCAGAGCGCTTATTCTCTCTTGCAGTGCGCCTCCCGTTCCTCAATCCGAGCCTATATTCTCTCTGGCAGTGCTCCTCCCGTCCCTCAATCCGAGACTCTAATCTCTCTTGGAGTGCGCCTCCCTTCCTCAATCCGAGCCGTTATGCTCTCTTGCAGTACGCCTCCCATTCCTTAATCCTAGCCTCTATTCTCTCTTGCAGTGCGCCTCAGGTTCCTCAATCCAAGCCTCTATTCTGTCTTGCAGTGCGCCTCCCAGTGTTCTCTCAATCCAAGACTCTATTCTCTCTTGCAGTGCGCCTCCGTTCCTCAATCCGAGCCTCTACTCTCTTGCAGTGCGCCTTCCCTTCCTCAATCCGATCAATCCTATATTCTCTCTTGCAGTACCGCCTCCGTTCCTCAATGCGAGCCTCTATTCTCTCTTGCAATTACCTCCGTTCTTCAATCCGAGCCTCTATTCTCTCTTTGCAGTGCCTCCCGTTCCTCAATTCGAGCCTATATTCTCTCTTTTTGCTGTGCCTCCCGTTCATCAATCGAGCCTATATTCTCTCTTGCAGTGCGCCTCCCGTTCCTCAATCCCAGCCTATATTCTCTTTTGCAGTGCGCCTCCCGTTCCTCAATCCAGGACTATATTCTCTCTGGCAGTGCTCCTCCGTCCCTCAATCCGAGCCTCTAATCTCTCTTGCAGTGCGCCTCCCCTTCCTCAATCGAGCCGTTATGCTCTCTTGCATTGCGCCTCCTGTTCCGTAATACTAGACTCTATTCTCTCTTTCAGTGCGACTCACGTTCCTCAATCCGAGGAGTTATTCTGTCTTACTTGCGCCTCCCGCCTCAATCGAGCCTCTATTCCTCTTGCAGTGCGCTCCTTCCTCAATCTATTCACTCTCTTGCAGTGCGCCTCCGTTCCTCAATCGAGCCTTTAATCTCTCTTGCAGTGCGCCTCCCGTTCCTCAATCCGAGCCTATATTCTCTCTCTTGCAGTGCGGCTCTCCGTTCCTCAATCCGAGCCGCTATTTCTCTCTTGAAGTGCGCCTCCAATCGGAAACCTTCCTCAATCCGAATCAGCCTATATTCTCTCTTGCAGTGCGCCTCCCGTTCCTCAATCCGGCCTATATTCTCTCTTGCAGTGCGCCTCCCCGTTCCTCAATCCGAGCAGTATTCTCTCTTGCAGTGCGCCTCCCGTTCCTCAATCCGAGCCTCTATTCTCTCTTGCAGTGCGCCTCCCTTCCTCAATCGAGCCTATATTCTCTCTTTGCAGTGCCTCCCGTTCCCTCAATCGGAGCCTATTCTCTCTTGCAGTGCGCCTCCCGTTCCTCAATCCAGCTATATTCTCTCTTGCAGTGCGCCTCCGTTCCTCAATCCGAGCCTATATTCTCTCTGCAGTACACTCCTTCCTCCAATCCGAGCCTATATTCTCTCTTGCAGTGCGCCTCCCGTTCCTCAATCCGAGCCTATATTCTCTCTTGCAGTGCGCCTCCCGTTCCTCATCCGAGCCTATATTCTCTCTTGTAGTGCGCCTCCTTCTCAATCCAGCCTCTATTCTCTCTTGCAGTGCGCCTCCCGTTCCTCAATCAGAGCCGTTATTCTCTCTTGTAGTGAGCCTCCCGTTCCTCAATCCGAGCCTATAATCTCTCTTGCAGTGCGCCTCCCCTTCCTCAATCCGAGCCTATATTCTCTATTGCAGTGCGCCTCCCGTTCCTCAACCCGAGCCTATATTCTCTCTTTCAGTGCGCCTCCCCTTCCTCAATCCGAGCCTATATTCTCTCTTTGCCGTGCGCCTCCCTTCCTCAATCCGAGCCTATATTCTCTCTTGCAGTGCGCCTCCCGTTCCTCAATCCGAGCCTATAATCTCTCTTTCAGTGCGCCTCCCTTCTCAATCCGAGCCTATATTCTCTCTTTCAGTGCGCCTCCTTCCTCAATCCAGACCCTCCTCTCTTGCAATCCGAGCCTATATTCTCTCTTTCAGTGCCCTCCCTTCCTCAATCCGAGCCTATATTCTCTCTTGCAGTCCCGCCCTCCGTTCTCTCTTGCAATCCTCCCTTCCTCAATCCAGGCCAATAATCTCTCTTGCAGTGCGCCTCCCCTTCCTCAATCCGAGCCTATATTCTCTCTTGCAGTGCGCCTCCCGTTCCTCAATCGAGCCTATATTCTCTTTCAGTGCGCCTCCCCTTCCTCAATCCGAGCCTATATTCTCTTGCAGTGCGCCTCCGTTCCTCAATCCGGATTTATATTCTCTCTTGCAGTGCGCCTCCCCTTCCTCAATCCGAGCCTATATTCTCTCTTGCAGTGCGCCTCCCTTCCTCAATCCGAGCCTCCTTCTCATATTCTCTCTTGCAGTGCGCCTCCGTTCCTCAATCCGAGCCTATAATCTCTTTTTCAGTGCGCCTCCCTTCCTCAATCCGAGCCTATATTCTCTCTTGCAGTGCGCCTCCCCTTCCTCAATCCGAGCCTATATTCTCTCTTGCAGTGCGCCTCCCTTCCTCAATCCGAGCCTATATCTCTCTTGCAGTGCGCCTCCCGTCCTCAATCCGAGCCTATATTCTCTCTTTCAGTGCGCCTCCTTCCTCAATCCGAGCCTATATTCTCTCTTGCAGTGCGCGCCTCCGTTCCTCAATCCGAGCCTATATTCTCTCTTGCAGTGCGCCTCCTCAATCCGTTCCTCTTGCAATCCGAGCCTATATTCTCTCTTGCAGTGCCTCCCTTCCTCAATCCGAGCCTATATTCTCTCTTGCAGTGCGCCTCCCTTCCTCAATCCGAGCCTATAATCTCTCTTGCAGTGCGCCTCCCTTCCTCAATCCGAGCCTATATTCTCTCTTGCAGTGCGCCTCCTCAATCCGTTCCTCAATCCCGAGCCTATATTCTCTCTTGCAGTGCGCCTCCCTTCCTCAATCCTCTTGAGCCTATATTCTCTCTTTGCAGTGCGCCTCCCCCTTCCTCAATCCTAGCCTATATTCTCTCTTGCAGTGCGCCTCCCTTCCTCAATCCTCCTATAATCTCTCTTGCAGTGCCTCCCTTCCTCAATCCGAGCCTATATTCTCTTGCAGTGCGCCTCCCCTTCCTCAATCCGAGCCTATATTCTCTCTTGCAGCGCCTCCGTTCCTCAATCCTCAATCCTCTTGCAGCCTATATTCTCTCTTGCAGTGCGCCTCCCGTTCCCTCAATCCGAGCCTATATTCTCTCTTGCAGTGCGCCTCCCTTCCTCAATCCGACCTATATTCTCTCTTGCAGTGCGCCTCCTTCCTCAATCTGAGCCTCTATTCTCTCTTGCAGTGCGCCTCCCTTTCTCCTCAATCCGAACCTATATTCTCTCTTTGCAGTCCTCCCTTCCTCAATCCTAGCCTATATTCTCTCTTGCAGTGCGCCTCCCCTTCCTCAATCCCGAGCCTATATTCTCTCTTGCAGTACGCCTCCCTTCCTCAATCCCGAGCCTATATTCTCTCTTGCAGTGCGCCTCCCGTTCCTCCAATCGAGCCTATATTCTCTCTTGCAGTGCGCCTCCCGTTCCTCAATCCAGAGCCTATATTCTCTCTTGCAGTGCGCCTCCTCAATCCTATAATCTCTCTTGAGCCCCTATTCGTTCCTGCAGTTATTCTCTCTTGCAGTGCTCCCCCTTCCTCAATCCGAGCCTATATTCTCTCTTGCAGTGCGCCTCCTTCCTCAATCCGAGCCTATATTCTCTCTTTGCAATCCGAGCCTTGCTCTCTTTGCCTCCCGTTCCTCAATCCGAGCCTATAATCTCTCTTTTGTGCGCCTCCCGTTCTCTCAATCAGGTGCCTCCCTATATTCTCTCTTGCAGTGCGCCTCCCTTCCTCAATCCGAGCCTATATTCTCTCTTGCAGTGCGCCTCCCGTTCCTCAATCCGAGAGCCTATGTTCCATCCTCTATATTCTCTTGCGGTGCGCCTCCCGTTCCTCAATCCGGAGCCTATATTCTCTCTGCAGTGCGCCTCCGTTCCTCAATCCGAGCCTATATTCTCTCTTGCAGTGCGCCTCCCTTCCTCAACGCCTCCGTTCCTATATTCTCTCTTGCAGTGCGCCTCCCTTCCTCAATCGGAGACTATATTCTCTCATTGCAGTGCGCCTCCCCTCGTTTCCTCAATCCGAGCCTATATTCTCTCTTTGCAGTGCGCCTCCCGTTCCTCAATCCGAGCCTATATTCTTCTTGCAGTGCCTCCGTTCCTCAATCCGAGCCTATATTCTCTCTTTCAGTGCGCCTCCCCTTCCTCAATCCGAGCCTATATTCTCTCTTTCAGTGCGCCTCCCGTTCCTCAATCCGAGCCTATATTCTTTCTCTTTCTCAATCCGAGTGCGCCTCCCGTTCCTCAATCCGAGCCTATATTCTCTCTTGCAGTTCCCCTCAGCCTCCATTTCCTCAATCCGAGCCTATATTCTCTCTTTGCAGTGCGCCTCCCCTTCCTCAATCCGAGCCTATATTCTCTCTTGCAGTGCGCCTCCCGTTCCTCAATCCGAGCCTATATTCTCTCTTGCAGTGCGCCTCCTTCCTCAATCCAGAGCCTATATTCTCTCTTGCAGTGCGCCTCCCGTTCCTCAATCCCGAGCCTATATTCTCTCTTGCTTGCAGTGCACCTCCCCTTCCCTCAATCCGAGCCTATATTCTCTCTCTTTGCAGTGCGCCTCCCCTTCCTCAATCCGAGCCTCCTATTCTCTCTTGCAGTGCGCCTCCCTTCCTCAATCCCGAGCCTATATTCTCTCTTTCAGTGCGCCTCCGTTCCTCAATCCGAGCCTATTCTCTCTTTCAGTGCGCCTCCCTTCCTCAATCCGAGCCTATATTCTCTCTTGCAGTGCGCCTCCTGTTCCTCAATCCGAGCCTATATTCTCTCTTGCAGTGCAGTTCCTCCAATCGAGCCCTATATTCTCCTTCTCAGTGCGCCTCCCTTCCTCAATCCGAGCCTATATTCTCTCTTGCAGTGCGCCTCCCTTCCTCAATCCGAGCCTATATTCTCTCTTGCAGTGCCTCCCCCCTTCCTCAATCCGAGCCTATATTCTCTCTTTTCAGTGCGCCTCCCCTTCCTCAATCCTCTTTCAGAGCCTATATTCTCTCTTGCAGTGCGCCCCTGTTCCTCAATCCGAGCCTATATTCTCTCTTGCAGTGCGCCTCCCCATCCTCAATCCGAGCTCCTTCTCTCTTGAGTACTTGCTAATCGATATATTCTCTCTTGCAGTGCGCCTCCCCTTCCTCAATCCGAGCCTATATTCTCTCTTGCAGTGCGCCTCCCGTTCCTCAATCCGAGCCTATATTCTCTCTTTGCAGTGCGCCTCCTGTTCCTCAATCCGAGCCTATATTCCTCTCTTGCAGTGCGCCTCCCGTTCCTCAATCCGAGCCTATATTCTCTCTTGCAGTGCGCCTCCTCCGTTCTCAATCCGAGCCTATATTCTCTCTTTTCAGTCTCTTGCCTCCCGTTCCTCAATCCAGAGCCTATATTCTCTCTTGCAGTGCGCCTCCCCGTTCCTCAATCCGAGCCTATATTCTCTCTTGCAGTGCGCCTCCCCGACCTTCCTCTCAATCCTCAATCCCTATATTCTCTCTTGCAGTGCGCCTCCCGTTCCTCAATCCGGCCTTCCTCAATGCCCTCCGCCTATATTCTCTCTTTCAGTGCGCCTCCCCTTCCTCAATCCGAGCCTATATTCTCTCTTTCAGTGCGCCTCCGTTCCTCAATCCGAGCCTATATTCTCTCTTTCCAATGCCTAGCAGTGCGCCTCCCGTTCTCAATCCGAGCCTATATTCTCTCTTGCAGTGCGCCTCCCGTTCCTCAATCCGAGCCTATATTCTCTCTTGCAGTGCGCCTCCCGTTCCTCAATCCGAGCCTATATTCTCTTCTTTTGCAGTGCGCCTCCCGTTCCTCAATCCGAGCCTATATTCTCTCTTTGCAGTGCGCCTCCCGTTCCTCAATCCGACCTATATTCTCTCTTGCAGTGCGCCTCCCGTTCCTCAATCCAAAGCCGTTATTCTCTCTTGCAGCCTCCCTTCTCAATCCGAGCCTATAATCTCTCTTGCCTCCCCTTCTCAATCGAGCCTATATTCTCTGTGCAGTGCTCCAACCCGAGCCTATATTCTCTCTCCAGAGCCTATATTCTCTCTTGCAGCCTATATTCTCTTGCAGTGCCTCCGCCTCCTCTTGCAGTTCCTTCCTCAATCCGAGCCTATATTCTCTCTTGCAGTGCGCTCCGTTCCTCAATCCGAGCCTATATTCTCTCTTGCAGTGCCTCCCGCCTCCCTGTTCCTCAATCCGAGCCTATTCTCTCTCTTGCAGTGCGCCTCCCGTTCCTCAATCCCGAGCCTATATTCTCTCTTTTCAGTGCGCCTCCCGTTCCTCAATCCGAGCCTATATTCTCTCTTTCAGTGCGCCTCCTTTTCCTCAATCCGAGCCTATATTCTCTCTTGCAGTGCGCCTCCCGTTCCTCAATCCTCAGCCTATATTCTCTTTGCAGTGCGCCTCCCGTTCCTCAATCCGGAGCCTATTCTCTCTTTGCAGTGCGCCTCCCGTTCCTCAATCCGAGCCTATTCTCATTCTCTCTTGCCTCCTTCAGTCCGCCTCTATTCTCCAGTGCGCCTCCCGTTCCTCAATCTCTCTTTCAGCCTATATTCTCTCTTGCAGTGCGCCTCCGTTCCTCAATCCGAGCCTATATTCTCTCTTTCAGTGCGCCTCCTGTTCCTCAATCCGAGCCTATATTCTCTCTTGCAGTGCGCTCCCCGTCCTCAATCCGAGCCTATATTCTCTCTTCCCGTTCAACTGTGCGCCTCCCCTTCCTCAATCCGAGCCTATATTCTCTCTTTCAGTGCGCTCCTTCCTCAATCCGAGCCTATATTCTCTCTTGCAGTGCGCCTCTGTTCCTCCCGAGCCTATCTCTCTTTCCGAGCCCTCCCGTTCCTCTCTTCTCTTTCAGTGCTCCTCCTTCCTCAATCCGAGCCTATATTCTCTCTTGCAGTGCGCCTCCCGTTCCTCAATCCGAGCCTATATTCTCTCTTTTCAGTGCGCCCCGTTCCCCTTCCTCAATCCGAGCCTATATTCTCTTTGCAGTGCGCCTCCCGATTCTATTCCTCAATCCTCCCCGCCTATATTCTCTCTTGCAGTGCGCCTCCCGTTCCTCAATCCGAGCCTATTTCTCTCTTGCAGTGCGCCTCCCTTCCTCAATCTCTCTTGAGCCTATATTCTCTCTTGCAGTGCGCCTCCCTTCCTCAATCCGAGCCTATATCTCTCTCTTGCAGTGCGCCTCCTGTTTCTCAATCCATATATTCTCTCTTTCAGTGCGCCTCCCGTTCCTCAATCCGAGCCTATTCTCTTGCTCTTGTTTTCCTCTGCGCCTCCTGCCTCAACTCCTATCGGCGTTATTCTCTTTCAGTTGCGCCTCCCGTTCCTCAATCCGAGCCCCTATTCTCTTTTGCAGTGCGCCTCCCCTTCCTCAATCGAGCCTATATTCTCTTTTGGTGCGCCTCCCGTTCCTCAATCCGAGCCTATATTCTCTCTTGCCTGCCTTCCTCAATCCGAGCCTATATTCTCTCTTGTGCGCCTCCCGTTCCTCAATCCGAGCTCTAATTCTCTTGCAGTGCGCCTCCCGTTCCTCAATCCGAGCCTATATTCTCTCTTTGCAGTGCGCCTCCCGTTCCTCAATCCGAGCCTATATTCTCTCTTGCAGTGCGCCGCCTTCCTCAATCCAGACACTTTCTCTCTTGCATCGTTCCTCAATCGAGCCTATATTCTCTCTTTCAGTGCGCCTCCGTTCCTCAATCGGAGCCTATATTCTCTCTCTTGCAGTGCGCTCTCCCCTTCCTCAATCCCGAGCCTATATTCTCTCTTGCAGTGCGCCTCCTGTTCCTCAATCCAAGCCTATATTCTCTCTTTCAGTGCGCCTCTCCCCTTCCTCAATCCGTTAGCCTATATTCTCTCTTGCAGTGCGCCTCCCTTCCTCAATCCGAGCCTATAATCTCTCTTGCAGTGCGCCTCCCCTTCCTCAATCCGAGCCTATATCTCTCTTTTGCCTATATTCTCTCTTTGCGCCTCCCGTTCCTCAATCCGAGCCTATATTCTCTCTTTCAGTGCGCCTCCCGTTCCTCAATCCGAGCCTATATTCTCTCTTTCAGTGCGCCTCCCGTTCCTCAATCGAGCCGCTATTCTCTCTTTCAGTGCGCCTCCCCTTCCTCAATCCGAGCCTATATTCTCTCTTGCAGTGCGCTCTCCCTCCCTTCCTCAATCCGAGCCTATATTCTCTCTTTTCAGTGCGCCTCCTCGTTCCTCAATCCGAGCCTATATTCTCTCTTGCAGTGCGCCTCCCGTTCCTCAATCCGAGCCTATATTCTCTCTTTACATGCGCCTCCCGTTCCTCAATCCCTATATTCTCTCTTTCAGTGCGCCCGTTCCTCAATCCGACTATTCTCTCTTGCAGTGCGCCTCCCCTTCCTCAATCCTCTTGAGCCTATATTCTCTTGCATTTCCTCAATCCGTCCCGTTCCTTAATCCGAGCCTATTTCTCTCTTGCAGTGCGCCTCCGTTCCTCAATCCTCTTGAAGCCCTCCATTCCTCATTCTCTCTTTCAGTGCGCCTCCCGTTCCTCAATCCGAGCCTATATTCTCTCTTTGCAGTGCGCCTCCCGTTCCTCAATCGAGCCTATATTCTCTCTTGCAGTTGCCTCCTGTTCCTCAATCCGAGCCTATATTCTCTTTGCAGTGCGCCTCCGTTCCCTTAATCCCGAGCCTATATTCCTCTCTTGCAGTGCGCCTCCTGTTCCTCAATCCGAGCCTATTCTTCTTGCAGTGCCTCCTTTCAATCGAGCCTATTCCCTTTCCTCCTGCCCTCAATCCGGAGCCTATATTCTCTCTTTCAGGGCGCCTCCGTTCCTCAATCCGAGCCTATATTCTCTTTCAGTGCGCCTCCCGTTCCTCCAATCAGGCCTATATTCTCTCTTGCAGTACTTGTCCCCGTTTCAATCGCGCCTCTATTCTCTCTTGTTCCCCCCTCAATCCGAGCCTATATCTCTTGCAGTGCGGTCATAATCGTCCTAAAACTCGCTTGCAGTACGCCTCCCGTTCCTCATTCCATGCCTATTCTCTCTTGCAGTGCGCCTTCTGTTCCTCAATCCGAGCCTATATTCTCTCTTGCAGTGCGCCTCCCGTTCCTCCAATCCGGCCTATTCTCTCTTGCAGTGCGCCTCCTTTCCTCAATCTGAGCCTATATTCTCTCTTGCAGTGCGCCTCCCCTTCCTCAATCCGAGCCTATATTCTCTCTTGCAGTGCGCCTCCCGTTCCTCAATCCGAGCCTCTATATTCTTCCTCAATTGCAGTGCGCCTCCCGTTCATCAATCCGAGCCTATATTCTCTCTTGCAATCCGCCTCCCCTTTCAATCCCGACCCCGTTCCTCAATCCTTTTCTCTTGTACGCCTCCATTCCTCAATCAGAAACCTATATTCTCTCTTTCTCTCTTAGTGAAACCTCCTCCCGTTCCTCTAATCCGAGCCCTATAATTCTCTCTTGCAGTGCGCCTCCCTTCCTCAATCCGCCTATATTCTCTCTTGCAGTACCCCTTCCCTCAATCCGAACCTATATTCTCTCTTGCAGTTCCTATTCTCTCTTTTGCGCCTCCCGTTCCTCAATCCAGGCCTATATTCTCTCTTGCGTTGCGCCTCGTTCCTCAATCCAGAGCCTATATTCTCTCTTTCAATTGCGCCTCCGTTCCTCAATCCCGAGCCTATATTCTCTCTTTCAGTGCCCTCCCTTCCTCAATCCGAAGCCTATATTCTCTCTTGCAATTGCCTCCGTTCCTCAATCCCGACCTATATTCTCTCTTGCAGTGCGCCTCCCGTTCCTCAATCCGAGCCTATATTCTCTCTTTGCAGTTGCCTCCGTTCCTCAATCCGAGCCTATATTCTCTTTGCAGTGCGCCTCCTTCCTCAATCCGAGCCTATTCTTCTCTCCCTTCCTCAATGCCCTCCCTGCACGGTGCACTTGCTCCGTTTATCCCAACCTATATTCTCTCTTGCAGTGCGCCTCCCGTTCCACAATCCGAGCCTATATTCTCTCTTTCAGTGCGCCTCCATTCCTCAATCCAGTACTCAGCTCTTGCAATGCGCCTCCGTTCCTCAATCAGGCCTCTATTCTCTCTTGCGGTGCACCTCAATCAGGGCCGTTATTCTCTCTTGTCCAACCTCAATCCGGGCCTATAATCTCTCTTGCAGTGCCTCCCCCTTCCTCAATCCCGAGCCTATATTCTCTCTTTGCAGTGCGCCTCCGTTCCTCAACCCCGACCTATATTCTCTCTTTTCAGTACGCCTCCCCCTTCCTCAATCCGAGCCTATATTCTCTCTTTGCAGTGCGCCTCCCCATCCTCAATCCCGAGCCTATATTCTCTCTTTCAGTGCGCCTCCCCTTCCTCAATCTGAGCCTATATTCTCTTGCAGTGCGCCTCCGTTCCTCAATCCGAGCCTATATTCTCTTGCAGTACGCCTCCCGTTCCACAATCCGAGCCTATATTCTCTCTTTCAGTGCGCCTCCCATTCCTCAATCAAATCCGCCGCCTATTCTCTCTTGCAATGCGCCTCCCGTTCCTCAATCAGAATCCCTATTCTCTCTTGCAGCCTCCCGTTCCTCAATCCAGGGCTATTCTCCCGTTCCTCAATCCCGCCTATATTCTCTCTTGCAGTGCGACTCCCGTTCCTCAATCCCGAGCCTATATTCTCTCTTTCAGTGCGCCTCCCCTCAATCCTCTCTCTTGCAATCCGTTCCTCAATCGCCTATTTCTCTCTTGCAGTACGCCTCCCGTTCCTCTTGATCCCGTTCCTCAATCGCCTATATTCTCTCTTTCATTCCGTTCCCCAATCCAGCCTCCTTTCGTTCCCACAATCCCAGCCTGTATTCTCTCTTGCAGTGCGCCTCCCCTTCCTCTATTCTCGAGCCTCCCGTTCTCCATATTCTCTCTTTTGCAGTGCCTCCCCTTCCTTAATCCTTTTTGAGCCTTATTCTCTCTTTGCAGTGCCCTCCCCGTTCCTCAATCCGACCTCTATTCTCTCTTGCAGTACGCCTCCCGTTCCACAATCCGAGCCGTTATTCTCTTGTATAGCCTCCGTCTCTCCGAGCCTTTCTCTTGCAATTGCGCCTCCCCTTCCTCAATCCGGTAGCCTATTCTCTCTCTTGCAGTGCGCCTCCCGTTCCTCAATCCGAGCCTCTTCTCTCATGCAGTGCGCCTCCGTTCCTCCAATCCAGCCTATATTCTCTCTTTGCAGTGCCTCCCGTTCCTCAATCCCAGCCTATATTCTCTTTTGGTGCTTCCGTTCCACAATCCGAGACTCTTGCATATTCCTCCGTTATTCTCTTTTTTGCAATTGCGCCTCCCGTTCCTCAATCCCAGCCTCTATTCTCTTTTTTGCAGTACGCACGAGACTATATTTCTCCGTTCACCAATCAAACCTTATTCTCTCTTGCAATTGCGCCTCCCGTTCCTCAATCAGAGCCTATATTCTCTTTTACAATTGTTCCTATAATCTCAATTCCACCTCAATCCGAGCCTATATTCTCTCTTCCCCGCTCAGTGCTATATTCTCCTTCCTGCAATCCGAGCCTATTCTCTCTTGCAGTGCGCCTCCCCTTCCTCAATCGAGCCTATATTCTCTCTTGCAGTGCGCCTCCCGTTCCACAATCCGAGCCTATATTCTCTATTGCAGTGCGCCTCCCTTCCTCAATCGAGCCTATGTTCTCTCTTGCAGTGCCGCCTCCCGAGCCTCTATTCTCTCTCATGCAGCCTCCGGTTCTCCGTCATATTCTCTCTTGCAGTGCGCCTCCGTTCCTCAATCCGAGCCGTTATTCTCTCTTGTAGTGCGCCTCCCGTTCCTCAATCGACCTACATTCTCTCTCTTGCAGTGCCTCCCCTTCCTCAATCGAGGCACTTTCTCTATTGCAGTACGCTCCCGTTCCTCTATCAAACCTCTATTCTCTCTTGCAGTGCACCTCCCGTTCCCTCCGAGCCGTTATTCTCTCTTGCAGTTGCGCCTCCCATTCCTCAATCCCAGCCTATATTCTCTCTTGCAGTGCGCCTCCCCGTTCCACAATCCGTGCCTACATTCTCTCTTTCAATTACCTCCCGTTCCTCAATCGAGCCCTATATTCTCTCTTGCAGTGCGCCTCCCGTTCCTCTGTAAGCCTCTATTCTCTCTTGCAGTACCTCCCGTTCCTTAATCCGAGCCTATATTCTCCTCTTGCAGTACGCCTCCCGTTCCTCAATCCGAAGCCTTATTCTCTCTTGTATTGCGCCTCCGTTCCTCAATCCGAGCCTATAATCTCTCTTGCGCTTGCCCTTCCTCAATCCGAGCCTATATTCTCTCTTGCAGTGCGCCTCCGTTCCCTTGATCCGAGCCTATATTCTCTCTTACGGGTGCGCCTCCCGTTCCTCAATCCGAGCCCTATTCTCTCTTGCTGCAGTGCGCCTCCCCGTTCCTCGATCCGAGCCTACATTCTCTCTTTCAATTACCACGCATCCGTTCCTCCAATCCGAGCCGCTATTCTCTCTCTTGCGAGTGCACTCCCCGTTCCTCAATTCCGAGCCTCCGTTCCTTAATATTCTTCTCTTTGCAGTTGCCCTTCCGTTCCCTCAATCCCAGCCTATATTCTCTTTTGCAGCGCTTTAATTCCATCCAGTGCCTCTTGCAGTGCCTCCCGTTCCTCAATCCGAGCCTCTATTCTCTCTTTTGAATTACGCCTCCCGTTCCTCAATCCAGGCCTGTATTCTCTCTTGTGGTGCGCCTCCTTCCTCAATCAGAGCCGCTATTCTCTCTTGCAATTGCGCCTCCGGTTCTCAATCGTTGCCTACTGTTCTCTCGCTTGCAGTGCGCCTCCCGTTCCTCAATCCTACCTCTATTCTCTCTTGCAGTGCGCCTCCCGTTCCTCAATCCGACTATATTCTCTTGCAATTGCACTCCCGTTCCACAATCCGAGCCTCCATTCTCTCTTTCCGTGCCTCCCGTTCCTCAATCCGAGCCGCTATTCTCTCTTGCAGTGCGCCTCGCGCCTCTATTCTCTCATGCAGTGCACCTCCGTTCAATCCGAGCCTTATTCTCTTTTGATTCTCCGTCTCAATCCCCGCCTATATTCTCTCGCGTTCCTCAATCCGAGCCTATATTCTCTCTTGCAGTGCGCCTCCCGTTCCTCAATCCGATCTATTCTCTTGCTGCGCCTCCCGTTCCAATCAAACCGTTATTCTCTTGTAGGCCTCCGTTCCTTAATCATGCCTATATTCTCTCTCTTGCAGTGCGCCTCCCGTTCCACAATCCGTGCCACTATTCTCTCTTTCAGTGCGCCTCCCGTTCCTCAATCGGCGCCCCGCTATTCTCTCTTTGCAGTGCGCCTCCCGTTCCTCAATCCGAGCCTCTATTCTCTCATGCAGTGCACCTCCACTTCCCCTCAATCAGAGCCCATATTCTCTTTGCAGTGCGCCTCCAATTCCTCAATCCCAGCCTATATTCTCTTTTGCAGTGCGCCCCCAATTTCACTCAATCCGAGCCTCTATTCTCTCTTGATGCGCCTCCCTTCCTCAATCCGATCTCTTATTCTCTCTTGCAATTGCGTTCCTCAATCAGAGCGTTTTTTCCTTAATCCGAACCTATAATCTCTCTTGCAATTGCGCCTCCCTTCCTCAATCCGTGCCACTATTCTCTCTTTTGGTGCGCCTCCCGTTCCTCAATCCGGCCTATTCTCTCTTGCAGTACCGTTTCCCGTTCCTCAATCCGACCTATTTCTCTCTTGCAGTGCGCCTCCCGTTCCTAATCCGAGTTATACATTCTCTCTTTCAGTGCGCCTCCGTTCCTCAATCGAGCCTATTCTCTCTTGCAGTACGCCTCCCGTTCCTCAATCAAAGCCTCTATTCTCATTGCAGTGCACTTCCTCCCAATCAGAGCCTTATTCTCTCTTGCAGTGCGCCTCCGTTCCTCAATCAGCCTATGTTCTCTTTTTGCAGTACGCCCCAATTCCCTGATCCGAGCCTATATTCTCTCTTGCAGTGCGCCTCCCCTTCCTCAATCCGATCTGTTATTCTCTCTTGCAGTGCGCCTCCGGTCCCTTAATCGTAGCCTACAAACTCGCTTGCAGTGCGCCTCCCGTTCCTCAATCCGTGCCACTATTCTCTCTTGCAGTGCGCCTTCCGTTCCTCAATCCGAGCCGCTATTCTCTCTTGCAGTGCGCCTCCCGTACCTCAATCCGAGCCTATATTCTCTCTTGAAGTGCGCCTCCACTTCCTCAATCCGAGACACTGTATTCTCTCTTGCAGTGCGCCTCCGTTCCTCGATCCGAGCCGTTGTTCTCTCTTGCAATTGCGCCTCCCGTTCCTCAATCCGAGCCTCTATTCTCCCTTGCAGTGCGCCTCCCGTTCCTCAATCAGAGCCACTATTCTCTCTTGCCAAGTGAGCCTCCCGTTCCTCAATCTGACCTATATTCTCTATTGCAGTGCGCCTCCCGTTCCTCAACCCGAGCCTATATTCTCTCTTGCAGCGCCGTTTCCTCAATCCGGCCGTTATTCTCTCTTGCAGTGCCCCCGTTCCTCAATCCACCCTATTCTCTCTTGCAGTGCGCCTCCCCTTCCTCAATCGAGCCTATAATCGTTGCCTCTCTTGCAGTGCGCCTCCCCTTCCTCAATCCGAGCCTCTATTCTCTCTTGGGTGCGCCTCCGTTTCCTCAATCCAAGCCTATATTCTCTCTTTCAGTGCGCCTCGTTCCTCAATCGAAGCTATATTTCTCTCTTGCAGTGCACCTCCGTTCTCAATCCGAGCCTCTATTCTCTTGCAATTGCATCCTTCCTCCGTTCTCTCAATCGTAGCCTGAAACTCGCCGCCTCCGTTCCTCAATCCGTGCCACCTTCTCTCTTTCAATTGCGCCTCCGTTCCTCAATCCAGAGCCGCTATTCTCTCTTGCAGTGCCTCCCGTTCCACAATCGAGCCTATATTCTCTCTTGAAGTGCTCCTCCGCACTCAATCCGAACCTATATTCTCTCTTTGCAGTTGCCTCGTTCCTCAATCCGAGCCTATATTCTCTCTTGCATTGCGCCTCCCCGTTCCTCAATCCGAGCCTATATTCTCTCTTTCAGTTACGCCTCCGTTCCTCAATCAATCTGTTGCTCTCTTGCATTCTCTCCCTTAATCGCAATACAAGCGCCTCCCGTTTCCTCAATCCGTGCCACTATTCTCTCTGCAATTTCCTCAATCCAGCCATATGCTCTCTTGCCGTTCCTCAATCAGGCCGTTATTCTCTCTTGAAGTAGAGCCTCCCGTTCCTCAATCCGAGCCTATATTCTCTCTTGCAGTGCGCCTCCTTCCTCAATCCGAGCCTATATTCTCTATTGCAGTGCGCCTCCCGTTCCTCAATCCGAGCCTCCCTATTCTCTCTTTCAAGTGCACCCCCTTCCTCAATCCGAGCTTATTCTCTCTCTTGCAATTCATCAATCCGCAGTTCCTCAATCCGAGCCTATATTCTCTCTTTGGAGTACGCCTCCCCTTCCCTCAATCCGAGCCTATATTCTCTCTTGCAGTTGCACCTCCGTTCCCTCAATCCGAGCCTATATTTCTCTCTTGCAGTACACCTCCGTTCCTCAATCCGAGCCGTTATTCCCGTTCCCGTTCTCCAATCCGACCTATATTCTCTCTTTCAGTGCGCCTCCGTTCCTCATCAAACCGTTTCTCTCTTGCCGTGAATCCAATCCGAGCTGCTATTCTCTTGCAATACGCCTCCCGTTTACCAACCCGTTCTCTTCTCTCTTATCAAAATATTCTCTCTTGCAGTTCCTCAATCCGAGCCTATATTCTCTCTTTGTTGCACCTCCCTTTTCCAATCCGGCCTATATTCTCTCTTGCAGTGCGCCTCCCGTTCCCCAATCCGAGCCTATATTCTCTCTTTCAGGTGCGCCTCCGTTCCTCAATCCGAGCCTATTTCTCTCTTGCAGTGCACTCCCGTTCCTCTATCCGAGCCTCTATTCTCTCTTGCGGTGCGCCACTCCCGTTCCAATCCAGCCGTTATTCTCTTTTGCGAGTGCGCCTCCCTTCCTCAATCCCAGCCTATGTTTCTCTTTTGCAGTGCGCCTCCGTTCCTCAATCCGAGCTATATTCTCTCTTGCAGTGCGCCTCCTTCCTCAATCCGAAGCCTCTATTCTCTCTTTCAGTGCGCCTCCCTTCCCGGCCTATATTCAGAGTGCCGTTATTCTCTCTTTTAGTGAGCCTCCCTTCCTCAATCCCGGAGCCTATAATCTCTCTTGCAATTGCCCCTTCCCAATCCGGCTTCCTCAATCCGAGCCTATTCCTTCTCTATTGCAGTGCGCCTCCCGTTCCTCAATCGGCCTATATTCTCTCTTGCAGTGCCTCCCCTTCCTCAATCCGAGCCTATATTCTCTCTTGCAGTACGCCTCCCGTTCACCGTCAATCCCTCTTGCAGCCTCCTTCCTCAATCGAGCTCTCTTGCAGTGCGCCTCCCCTTCCTCAATCCGAGCCTATATTCTCTCTTTCAGTGCGCCTCCGTTCCTCTTGCAATCCGAGCCCTCAATCGAGCCCTTTCCTCTCTTGCAGTGCGCCTCCCGTTCCTCAATCGACCTATATTCTCTCTTGCAGTGCGCCTCCGTTCCTCTATCCGAGCCTCCTTCTCTCATTCAATTGCGCCCCCGTTCCTCAATCCGAGCCTATATTCTCTGCAGTGCGCCTCCGTTCCTCAATCCCAGCCTATATTCTCTTTTGCAGTACGCCTCCTTCCTCAATCGAGCCTATTCTCTCTTGCAGTGCGCCTCCGTTCCTCAATCGAGCCTATATTCTCTTTTTTGCAGTGCGCCTCCGTTCTCAATCAATCAGTAGCCGTTATTCTCTCTCTTGGTACGCCTCCGTTCCTCAATCCGAGCCTATAATCTCTCTTGCCCGACCTGTGCTCTCTTGCAATTGCCCTTCCTCAATCCGCAGCTTATCAATTCTCTATTGCAGTGCGCCTCCCGTTCCTCAATCCAGGCCTATATTCTCTCTTGCAGTGCGCCTCCCCTTCCTCAATCCGAGCCTATATTCTCTGTTGCAAATTACGCCTCCATTCCTCAATCAGGCTATATTCTCTCTTGCGCCTCCCCCTTCCTCAATCCGAGCCTATATTCCTCTCTTGCGGTGCGCCTCCCGTTCCCTCAATCCCAGCCTATATTCTCTCTTGCAGTGCGCCTCCCTTCCTCAATCCGAGCCTATGTTCTCTTTTAGTGCACGCCTCCCGTTCTCAATCCGAGCCTTAATCTCTCTTGCAGTGGTGCACCTCCCGTTCCTCAATCCGAGCCTATATTCTCTCTTGCAGTGCGCCTCCCTTCCTCAATCCGAGCCTATATTCTCTCTTTCAGTGCGCCTCCGTTCCTCAATCCTCAATCCGAGCCTATATTCTCTCTTGCAGTGCGCCTCCCGTTCCTCAACCCGAGCCTATATTCTCTCTTTTTGTGCGCCTCCCGTTCCTCAATCTTGCAGAGCCCTTCTCTCTTGCAGTGCGCCTCCCATTCCTCAATCCGAGCCTATATTCTCTCTCTTGCAGTTGCCTCCCTTCCTCAATCGAGCCTATATTCTCTCTTGCAGTGCGCCTCCCTTCCTCCCTATATTCCTCAATCCCGAGCCTATATTCTCTCTTTCTCACACCTCCCGTGCGCCTCCTCTTGTGCTTTCCTCAATCCGGCCTCCTATTCTCTCTTGCAATTGCGCCTCCCGTTCCTCAATCAGAGCCTATATTCTCTCTTGTGCACCTCCCCTTCCTCAATCCGAGCCTATAATCTCTCTTGCAGTGATATTCTCTCAATCGCCTCCCGCTTCCTCAATCGACCTATATTCTCTCTTGCAGTGCGCCTCCCGTTCCTCAATCGAACCTATATTCTCTCTTGGTGCCTCCCCGTTCCTCAATCCGAGCCTATTCTCTCTTTCAGTGCGCCTCCGTTCCTCAATCCAGTATATTCTCTCTTGCAGTGCACTCGTTCCTCATAATCCGGCCTCTATTCTCTCTTGCAGTGCGCCTCCCGTTCCTCAATCAGAGCCGTTATTCTCTCTTGTAGTGAGCCTCCCGTTTCGGCGCAGTGCGCCTCCCCTTCCTCAATCCGAGCCTATATTCTCTCTTTGCAGTGCGCCTACCATTCCTCAACCCGACCTCTATTCTCTCTTTCCCGGAGTACGCCTCCTTCCTCAATCCGAGAGCCTCTCTCTTGCAGTGCGCCTTTCCTCAATCCGAGCCTATATTCTCTTTGCAGTGCGCCTCCCAATCCGTTCTCTCAATCAGATCCGAGCCTATATTCTCTCTTGCAGTGAAACCTCCCGTTCCACAATCCGGGCCTATAATCTCTCTTTCAAGTACGCCTCCGTTCCTCAATCCGACCTATATTCTCTATTGCAATGCGCCTCCGTTCCTCAATCCAGGCCTATATTCTCTTCGCAGTGCCTCCAGGCGTTCTCTCTTGTAAGCCTCCCGTTCCTCACCTATATTCTCTCTTGCAGTACTTCCCTTCACTCAATCCGACCTATATTCTCTTTCAGTGCGCCTCCCGTTCCTCAATCCGACCCTTTATTCTCTCTCTTTCAGTGCGCCTCCCTTCCTCTATCAAAATTGCCTCTCCCATTCTCTCTCTCTTGCAGTGCGCCTCCCTTCCTCAATCCGAGCCCTTATTCTCTCTTGCCTGATGCGCCTCCCGTTCCTCAATCCGGGCCCTATATTCTCTTTTTTGGTGCGCCCCCGTTCCCCAATCCGAACTATATTCTCTCTTTCAGTGCGCCTCCCGTTCCTCAATCCGAGCCTATATTCTCTCTTGCAGTGCGCGCCCGTTCCTCAATCCGACCTCCCCTTTATTCTCTCATGCAGTGAACTCCGTTCCTCAATCCGAGCCGTTATTCTCTTTTGCAGTGCCTCCCTTCCTCAATCCCCAGCTATATTCTCTTTTGCAGTTGCTTCTTCCACAATCCGAGACTATATTCTCTCTTGCAGTGCGCCTCCCGTTCCTCAATCCCGACCTCTATTCTCTCTTGCAGTGCGCCTCCCGTTCCTCAATCGAGTCTATTCTCTCTTTCTTGTATTGAGCCTCCCGTTCTACTCAATCCGAGCCGCTATTCTCTCTTTGCAGTGCGCCTCCCTTCCTCCTATCCGAGCCTCTATTCTCTGTGTTCCTCAACACAAACCTGCACCTCCCGTTCCTTAATCCCGAGCCCATATTCTCTCTTTTGCAGTGCCTCCGTTTCCTCATCCCAGCCTATATTCTCTTTTTCAGTACGCCTCGTTCCTCAATCCGGCATATTCTCTCTTGCAGTGCGCCTCCGTTCCTCTATCCGAGGCCTCTATTCTCTCATGCAGTGCACCTCCGTTCCTTAGCTCCAGGCCGTTATTCTCTCTTGCAGTACGCCTCCCGTTCCTCAATCCAGCCTATTCTCTTTTTGCAGTGCCTCCTTCCTCAATCCGAGCTATATTCTCTCTTGCAGTGCGCCCCGTTCCTCAATCCGGCCTATATTCTCTCTTGCAGTACGCCTCCCGTTCCTCAGTCGAGCCTATATTCTCTCTTGTGGTGCCTCCCGTTCCACAATCGAGCCACATTCTCTCTTTCAGTACGCCTCCCGTTCCTCCAATCCGAGCCGCTATTCTCTTGGTGCGCCTCCCGTTCCTCTATCCGAGCCTCTATTCTCTCTTGCAGTTTTTCCCGTTCCTCAATCCGGCGTTGTTCTCTCTTGCGGTGCCTCCGTTCCTCGATCCCGACCCTATATTCTCTTTTGCAGTGCGCCCCCCGTTCCTCAATCCGAGACTCCCTATTCTCCGTTCCTTCCGAGACACTATTCTCTGTGCGCCTCCCGTTCCTCAATCCGAGCTTCTCCTTCTCTTGCGGTACTTTCCTTCCTCAATCCGAGCCTATATTCTCTCTTGCAGTGCCTTCACTTCCTCAATCAAGCCGTTATTCTATTGCAGTGCGCCTCCCGTTCCTCATCCGAGCCTATATTCTCTCTTGCAGTGCCTCCCTTCACTCAATCAAGAGCCGCTATTCTCTCTTGCAGTGCGCCTCCCTTCCTCTCTATTTATCCGAGCTTCCTCCTTCTCTATATTCTCTCTTGCAGTGCCCTCCCGTTCCTCAATCCGAGCCTATATTCTCTCTTGCAGTACTTTCCCGTTCCTCAATCCGAAGCCTATATTCTCTCTTGCAGTGCGCCTCCCCTTCCTCAATCCGAGCCTATATTCTCTCTTGCAGTGCGCCTCCCGTTCCCTCTTGCATCCGAGCCTATATATTCTCTCTTGCAGTGCCCTCCCGTTCCTCAATCCGAGCCTATATTCTCTCTTGCAGTGCGCCTCCCGTTCCTCAATCCGAGCCTATATTCTCTCTTGCAGTGAGCCTCCCGTTCCTCAATCCAGGCCTATATTCTCTCTTGCAGTGCGCCTCCCTTCCTCAATCCGACCTATATTCTCTTTTGCAGTGCGCCTCCCGTTCCTCAATCCGAGCCTATATTCTCTCTTGCAGTGTCCCGTTCCTCGTCAGAGCCGTTATTCTCTCCGTTCCTCAATCCGAGCCTCTAATCTCTCTCTTGCAGTGCGCCTCCTTCCTCCCCGACCCTTATTCTCTTTCACCCCCCTTTTTTACCATTCTTTTTGGGGCCCCCGCCTTTTCCCCCAACTTACCTTTTCCCCTCCTTCCTTTACCTACCCCCTTTTCCCCCCTTCCCAATTACCCCCTTTCTTCCCCCGCCCCCCTTTCCCTTTTTCCTTTTTTCCCCCCCTTGGGGGCTTTATTCCCCTTTTCCCCTTTAAACCACTTATTTCTTTCCCCTTTCCTAAAAATTTTTTTTTATCCCCCCCGTTCCTAATACTTTTTTTTCCCCTCCCCCCAACCCGGCCCTTTTTCTCTGCAGTCCCTTCCCTTTCCACCCCTTTTTTCTTTTGCTTTTCCCCCCCTCAACCCCACCTTTTTCCTCTTGCACCCCCCCCCCGGCCCTTTTCCTCAACCTTCTTCCCCCGGTTTTCCTCCCCCCTTTTCCTCCGGGTGTTTTTTTC